GACTTTAGTATAATCATATTTTCTTTATCCATTTATCCATCAGTGGACATTTAGATTGTTGCCATATCTTAACTATTGTAATTAATGCTGTAGTAAATAAAGGAGTACATATATCACTCAAGTTTGTGTTTTCACTTTTTTCAGATAAATACCCAGAAGTAGAATGGCTGGGTTGCATTGTAGTTCTGTTGTGTGTGTGTGTGTGTGTGTGTGTGTGTGTGTGTGTGTGTGCGCGCGCAGTTCTATTTTTAATTTTCTAAGGAACTTCCACATTTTTTTCCCATAGTGGCAAAACCAATTTACATGCCCACCAACAGTGCACAAGAGTGCCTTTTCTTCACAGCCTAGCCAACATGTTTGTCTTTTTTATGATAGCCATTCTAACAGGTGTGAGGTGATATCTCATTGTGGTTTTGATTTGCAAACCTCTGATGACTAGTGATATTCAGTAACTTTTCATTTACCTGTTGGGCATCTGTATGTCCTTTCTAAAAAAAAAAAAAATGTCTATTCAGATCCTTTGCTCATTTATTTTATCTGATTTTTTTTTTTTTTTTTTGCTATTTCATTGAATTGTATGAGCTCTTTGTACATTTTGGATATTAATCCTTATCAGATATATGACTTGTAAATATTTCCTCCCATTCAGTAAATGACCTTTTAATTTTGTTGATGGTTTATATACCCTTTTATTATTTCAAAATAACTATCATCATATGCTTCAAATGGCCAATGAGAAGGTGAAAAGAAGCAAGGTCACAAAAGAAACAATTCATTATTTAACTCAATACACTGTCTTTGTGGCATTTTAAGTTTTAAATGCCCCTTCCATTCTCTCAGGCTGATATCACAGACCATGTTGCTATTGTTTCACCCAAAAGCACTTATTTGCCTTCCAGCCACAATTAAAGACTCCCCTAAAAGTAGATCCTTTTCCAAATAACACCCATAAAAATACTCAAGGGCATATGAAAACGTTATATTTTAGTCAAAATACCCATAAATGTTAGGATTCCAGATCATTAAAAAAAAAGTTTACTTCCTAAATCTGTAAGCCAAAATGCTACCTTTTACTGATACATATTGACAAAGGCATGCAGATAACAGTAAGCAAAGCTCAAGGACTTGAAAAAGCAACACTTTAGGGACATTTTCACTTTTTTCAAATGCTCTGTGTTTCCAAATTACAGACTTGGGATGTTTCTTTGAAACAAGTCCTCCTATTGTAAAAAAAAAAATCCTTTTGTCCACTACTTATACATGTGTTTTGCTATTTCTAGAAAAGCGATTGCTTTTATGTTTAAATAGCATTTCTTCCAAAGTTAATTTTAAGAAACTAATTGCAAACATCAAGCTATTTTGATTCTTTTTCTTTTTTATTGAACTGATTGGGGTGATAATTCACTTTATTCTTGATGCCCTTAATTTACCCAGAGTCAGTAGTAGTGACAAGTTTACCTCTACTATTCAGTGAATAAAAAAAAATTTTTTGATTCATAGCAAAACAAAACATATGAGAAGACAGCAGAACTACTGACAAAACTATTAACTATTATACCAAAACCCCACTTTTAAAAACCATGTTTTAGTCTTATGAGGATACACTGGAAATTTTAAAATATTAATCTCATCTTAGCATACACTAAAGACACCATTGTATAAATGTAGTGTTAACATTTGTGACACTGTGTGTATAAAACTTGCCTGCAAAGCAGCACTTGGAACAGATGTAGCACAAATGCTTAAATTTCATATGATTTTTATATGCCCCCCCCATCACACTTAATTCCATCCATCAAAAGCTGACTGCAAGTAACAGGTATGACTAATTTTAAAAGAGCACATATTCATCTCCTAAGGGGTGCGTAGCAAGAAGTTACTAAGTCCTAGGTGAAACACTATATTCACATACTCCACAGTATACATTAGTGAAAAGTTCCAGTCACAGTAACTTTTCACAACAAGATTTATTGTCAGAGCTTGTAAGTGGATATACTGGGAATAGTTCCATGCCTATTAGGGGAAAAACCTCCCAACTAAATGCACAACTTATGCCTGTAGCAACACTGACAGAATTGAACCATCTAGTAGAAAAAAAACACCTTTCATTTTGCAGTGTTTACAGTTGAATATAACCAAGACCCCCAAAATTAAAAGCTATTTTGAGGAGAGATCAAAACAATTGCCCTCCAACCACAGAGAAATTGAAAAATACATTTCACATTATTCTGCATAAAAAAATAAGCTACAAATCAAACCCTAACATCACTTTGCTGAAAAGACCTGAGGAACTAAGATGTCTGCCAACAATCAAAGGAAGAACTATTTGATAATCAGTGTGACAGAAAACAGATATTTATGGCTCCTAGCTATGAGCAAATGAAAGACTAGACTAAATTTTAAGAAAAATTCCCCAGCTGTTCTAAAATTTCAGAGCTTCCAAAATGGCTAGATCCTAACAGCTAAAGAACCAAATAGTTACCACATGCTGCGGGGAGGGTTGGGGGAAAGCAGGAGGGAGTGGCTGAAAGAGACTCAGAAAAAGAAAATGCTTCCAAAAGATAGCATATCATTGGTAATTCAGGTATAGATAGCCGCATGACTTTAGGTATAGAAGAGCATCATTAAGATCATTAACCATTTCCTAGAACATGTAATTATCATGTAAGATTAAAGTGAAAAACCTAAATAACCTTGAAAAAACATAAAGACTAAAAAAATATAACTTAGGATTGGTAATTAAAGGTATTACAGAAAGTATCTTTCCATGCCTGACCTACATAAGGAAAAAAGATCAAACTCAAATGGGAAGAAGGTTGTTTTTTTTACTTTAGGAAAAAATGAAGTATGTAAGATGGCAGAATAAAAAGAGGTATTAGATGAAATTTCCACTAAAAACAATATTCAACTTTCCCCCTCTGTTCACAGAACTATCTGGAGCCTCTAAAATACCGTGGATAAATTACACAGCCACTAAATATTTTAAGTATGAAGACTATGTGGCAGCCCAGAAAAATTCATGGGACATTATAGGTAGAAAAAAGCAGAACACAAAGTAATATGAACACTGTGATTACAATTCTAGGTAAAAAGATGTGATGATAGTTGTTAAGGGGGGTGGTAGTGAGACTTTATTTTTCCTTTCCAAAGATTCTGTAAATATTGCCATGGGAGTTTTATGGTCAAAACCCATTTTTACTTTTAAAAAAATTCTGGTGTCTGTAGCTATGAGTTTGTTTATGTTTGCTCAAACCCCTTTTTAAATCGTGGGTCTTGGCATTCAGAAAAATGCTGAATAAGTGGTTCCTTTAAAGAAAAGAATCGGCACATTGCTTTGTAGTGTATCCTTTAAGTGGCCACACTGTAAATGGTGGGTTATTATCTGTATTAGTACTCAAGGGGTGTAGACCTTTAGACTTAAGATGTAAAACATCTGCTCTTCCAAGTGAAAGAAATGGTCACACCCTTTTGGGAAAGACATTTTTGAAAAGATTATGGTATTTTGAAAGATGTCTACTTGCTCCATTTTTCTAAATACGTAAGTCAAAAACCAAAAAATAAAGTATCAAAACCAGAAGTTTTAAAGGGAACCTACTAATCAAACTGGTATTGGCAACTAAGAATTACAAAGTTAAAGCCTCTTTTTTTTTTTCTTCCTATGATCTTTCCCCCTTTGGTTTCCTTTCTGTAGGAACACTCTCCTTGACCAACTATTCAGTTTGGTCGTTTCCGTTCTTATAAATACTTGACTAAAACGAATGACAACACATCCAAATGGCACCTCCCCAACACTATTAAGATAATTCTAAGAGGGAATCTAGAAAAAGACTTCAAGGATTACGGTAATGTATTTTTTTTAAGGCTCAATATGCAAACGGGACTCTTACCCAGTTGATTTAATAGTCTGAACTCAATTTCATTGGGTCACTGCAGGCAAAGCGATTCTTTATCTCCTCTCCATTAGTAACATATATTAACTACCCCATGGAGATGAAGTCCTCCCTACTTTTCTCCTTGTAGGTCAGAATCCTTTGGAACAAATCGTCCCATTTTACTATTGTAACTGCGTTTAATCGAGTCCTTCCTTTCTTTTTCACCCGACACATCCCTACCAGGCTAACAGAAGCCTAACACGATGTAAATAGGTAGGCCAGGTCCCTAAAAAGCTCTGCCTCTTGGGGGTTCCGATGGGCATCTCCCGCCCCAGCCCATCGCGGCTGGTCTCAAATGGAACGCTCACAGTAGCTAAGGTAACCAAACAATTAGGAAGAACAAACGAAAAGAGTTCCTCTGGTCTTGGGGGTGAGAGGCTGGCTCAGAGGCCAGATTTTCCATCGCCCGGGGTGCGTTACAGACCACAGAAGTGCAAAAGCAGGACTCTAATCTTTGAAGGCCAGCAGCAGACGCTGCCACGCTCTCAGCAGGAAGGGGGTGGAGGGAGCGGGAGGAAAGTGGGAGGGAGGGGGGAGAGAGAAGCAGCGGAGGAGGGGGGGGGGTGGAAGAGGGGAAGCTGCGGGGAGCAGGAGTGGGGAGGAAGGAGGGGCCGGAGGTGGAGCCCGGGCTGCAGGGAAGCCCGCGCGGGGCCAAGGAACCTGGGGCGGAGTCGCAGGCTCGCCCTTCCCCTTGGCCACAGTCGCGCGGGGTGCACCCCGAAGGGGCGGGTCTCTTCCCCTCCCTCCTCTCCCTCCTTTCCATCTCAGCAGCGCCCACAGTCTCCCTCCCTGGCTCATACAAAAGCAAAATGTCCGCCATCTTCCGTGGCCACTGCGGTCGCCCCGCCGACACCGGTCGGGCTCTCCCGTGGTTTCTCCCCGGGGCTGCCCCTCCCCTGACCCCGGGCACCCAAGAGGCTCCGCAACCGCCAAGGGCACCGCTCAGCCGGCCCTCCGTGCCTCCTGCCCCTCCCCGCGTCCCTCCGGCCGCAGGGCTGCAAGGAAGGGAAGCTGCCCCAGCCCACCGGTTCCCATTCCGGTCGCCCCATTCTCTTGATGCCCCCTTACCTTGATACAGTACGGGGGTTCATCGTAGGTGACCAGCATGTACCTGTCCCCGCGGCTGGCTGGGTCCCGGGCGCGCAGCTGTGGGAGAAGGATGACAGAGGGGGCCCGCGAAGGGAAGGAGGGAGGAAAGGGAGACACGAACATTACCGAAGCACCTCAATCCACCCCACCCCACCCCCACACCCACGGGAGATCTTCCCATCTCTCCCCTCCCTTCCCTTTACCTTCAAGAATAACTCCACAGCGCCTTTGGCAATGTCCAAATAGGAGGTACCCAAGTCAGTGCGCTGGTTCATAGAGGCGGACGTGTCTATAAGGAACAGCAGGATGGGCATCTTCCTCCTCACCCCTGGCTCTGTTCCCTGCTATCCGGGCCCTCACTGGTGCGTTTTGCCACCCGAACCCTCAACTCTCGCAGAGCCAGGGCGCAGAGAGCCAGAGGAGAGAGGGAGATGAGAGAGACTGGACAGATGAGACTGCCCCTGGCCTCCTCTTTCTGCAGCCCCACCTCCTTTCCCTCCAAGGAAACTTGAAAGTGTTAGCGTGTGTAGCCCTGGGGCCCTCCCCCTTCCTCTCCTCTGCCACCACTACAGCCGCCGCCGCTGCCACAGCCACTGCTGCCCAAGCATCCGTCCACGCTCACTCAAGCGCTCGCCTCAGACTGAGAGCTATCTGTGTTCACCGACACTCAACTTCTGTTCGCTCACCTACCACCGGCACCATGTGACCAGGATCTACGCCATTGGCTGCCAATTATGTTTATTTGCATATTCATTAGATGACAGCAAAGGGAGGGATTTGGGCGAACCCTGGGAGTTGAAGTTTGAACCCAGGCAGGATGTAAGGGGAAATGTTAAGGACCCTTCTTTAAAGCCTTAGGAGGTGTTAGGCTATTTGGGGCGGGGGTGGGGAAGGGGAATGGATGGATTTTCTCTTGATCTTCAGAGATGATGACTCATTGCAAAGGAAGAGTGAATTTGAGCAACAGTTGTACAGAGTACAGAAGCAGATGCTTAGATTGGCTGCACAGAAAACTTTTCTAACTTCAACCCATCAATCCTGCTACTAGCCGAGACCAAAACATTTTAGAAAAAGCAAACCTCATTCCTGGCAAGACCTACTCACATTCCTTTAGCTCCCTCCCCACTCTTGATCAGTATTTATAAGTTGGTTGCTGGCCTTGCGTTCCACATATAGCTACTTTGAAAGGAAACTAAAACTTAAACATAGTTACCTAAACTGGTCTTTTGTGTGCACAAGCTTCTTCAATTTCACTGATCTCTTTGAGATATTGGCCTGCCAGGGATAAGCCCACCCACTCTTGTATCTGCACAGCCTTTGCACATGGGAAATTAGCCAACCAAGATTCTCATTCAACTCACATTTATTGAGCTCCTATAAGTACTAGGCAACCATGTTAGCCTCCCTTAATCCTTGAAATGATTATAGTAGATGGCATTTTTCAGTAAATGTTCTCAGGTCTGACTGCAAGAAAAGGCTCAATAAGTGGCCAATTACCCTTGACTATGTTACATGATTTTTAAAAAGTCCTCATCCGAGGATACCTTTACCATTGATCCTTAGAGAGAGAAAAAGGAGAGAGAGAGAGAGAGAGAGAGAGAGAGAGAGAGAGAGAGAGAGAGAGAGAGAGAGAGAAAGAGAGAGAGAGAGAAGGGGTAGAGAGGGAGAAAAACACCAAACACATCGACATGAGACAAATACATTAACCTGAGATAAACCTGCAGCCAAGGTACATGCCCTTGATCTGCCCTTGACTGGGAATCAAACCTGAGACACTTTGGTCCATAGGCTGTCACTCTAACCACTGAGCAAAATCAGCTAGGGCTGTAACACAATTTAAAAAAAATATTTTTTTATTGATTTTAGAGAGGAAGGGAGGAGAGAGACAGATAGAAACATCAATAATGAGAAAGAATCAACAATCGCCTGCCTCTTGCATGCCCCACACTGGGATTGAGCCTGCAACCCAGGCATGTGCCCTGACCGGGAATCAAACCATGACCTCCTGGTTTATAGGTTGATGCTCAACCACCGAGCCATACCTGCCGGACACATAACACAATTTTTTAATGCAGAGGTGTGTATTCCTAGCAGGATGCTATGCATGATATGGAATTTTGAATTTCAATGAGTTTATACTTTTATTGATACATTTCTTTATGTAATATTTTCTATGTTCTTTGTATTATATATAATAAATATGTGCACACATTCAATAATAGTTTTAGAAAAATACGATTTCAGAACAGGTCACATGGCAGTATTTGAATCAGGAGCAAATAAGTGATTAAAACAAAAAGTGCAATGAAACCAATGGTCCAGTGGTCTAGAAGTTCAGAAGGTTTCGTGGATGAAGCACAAAGAGGAAAGAGAGAGATTATAGGTTGGAAGGAATGGTGTAAACAAAAGTTCAGCCAGAGATAGTAATTTGCATGCTGCATTTTAGGAAAGTCTGGTGGGATTCACCTGGTGGGAATTAATGGGGAAATAGACCCTAGAAGTCCCCATTTCCATTTTCATACTAATATTATTGGAGAAGGGCAGTGCCTACGTGGGCTATGGTGCTATAAATTACAGGGCTGGTGAGGGTTGATGTGTCATTTTTCTATTTCTATGTAAGTAAAAAACTGTACCATAAATTCTGCAGTTCAAAACAACATACTCATGTATTATCTTACAGTTGCTGTGAGTCAGGGGGGTGTAGTTGGATTCTCTGCTCAGTTGGTTGTACAAGACTTCAATCCAGGTGTCAGACAGGCTGTTTTCATCTGGAGGTTTGACTGGGAAAGAATCAGCTTCCAAGCCCATTCAGAGTATTGGAAGAATTTACTTTCTTATGGCTCGGTGCCATCCTCCAGTATATCTGCAGCTTCAGTTCTGCAGCTTCAGTTCAATGCATGTGGCTCTCTCTATAATTTTAGTTATAGCAAGGTTGTTTGCTTCTTCAGGGCCATCGGGACACTCGCTTCAGTTTATGCAACTTGACTTAATCATGAGAAAACCAGCCATCACCCTTGCCATATTCTATTGACTAGAAGAAGCAAGCCACCAGTCTCACCCACACTCAGCAGAGAGGATTATACAGGATGTAACACCATGAGGTGGAGATCATGGGGCAGTCTAATAATTTTGCCTAACATTAAGTGGGGATGGGATTAGTACCTGGAAACAAACTTTCTTGTTAAAGCCAACTCCAAGTAATACTGTGTCTCTTTCAGCCCATCAGATAAATGCATAGGGTTGATTGGTTGCTTAGAATAGCCTTTGGTTGAAGAAGTACAAAATTTTCTATTAGTTTATCCTATATAATAAAGAGGTCATATGCAAATTGACCATCACTCTAACACACAAGATGGCTGCCCCCATGTGGACACAAGATGGCTGCCATGCCAAAGCCAGTTTGAGTGGTGGAGCGTCGGTCTGCGGACTGAAAGGTCCCGGGTTCGGTTCCGGTCGAGGGCATGTACCTTGGTTGTGGGCATATCCCCAGTGGGGGGTGTGCAAGAGGCAGCTGATCGATGACTCTCTCTCATTGATGTTTCTAACTCTCCATCTCTCTCCTTTCCTCTCTGTACAAAAATCAATAAAATATATTTTTAAAAAAATATGGCTGCCACAGGGGAGGGCAGTTGTGGGTGATCAGGCCTGCAGGGGAGGGCCCTTGGGAGGGACTTTTTTAAAGTGCCACGGGACATGGGACAAATTGTTGAAATGAATATACCTTATTTTTATAATCAGAAAGAGGTTATGTAAAAAAATGTAAATACAAAATATTTTAAAAATCATTCCAAGGTGAATACTATTGAAGTAGTTTTCAAAACTGATTTATCAGTATCAGGGAAACACAAATGATTTTAGCCACACAGTGCTCCAGAGGTTGAGGGCATGCAGGCCCCATAGGACCTTAGGATGTGCTCCTCAGGCAGGTCCATATTTATTTTTTTTCTAATAGGACTTATTATTGATCCTTTCTGGAAAATGCTCAAATGGAATTGAAATGATCCTAATGTATAGAGAGCCAGGGTCTGTAACATCCAAAACAACCGAACAGATGATTGAATGCCAGACTGAGCACGCAGCAGGCTCAGGTGGGTGGGGACTGGCGAGCGGGCTGAACTGTTGACCTCTCAGTCCCTCCTAGTTTGTGGGCACCATGGTGGCCCAGCACAGACTGCTGCCACCAAGGCCTGTGCAATGGGATTGGTCAGGGGGCCCTGTCATCACCCCACAATCGCCCCAAAGAAGGATGCCCAGGCTACCCGGCCAGCAGTGGTGGGCAGGGCCTCCCTCTATGGGGCAATCAATAGCAGGACTTCCGAACTGTAAGAGGGCACAGGCCTGGCTAAAGGACCCCATGCCCCAAGTGAAGGTATTTTGTGCACCAAGCCTCTAGTGTAAAGATAATGTCTAAAAAATACCTGTCTTGCCGAAACCGGTTTGGCTCAGAGCGTCGGCCTGTGGACTGAAAGGTCCCAGGTTCGATTCCAGTCAAGGGCATGTACCTTGGTTGTGGGCACATCCCCAGTAGAGGTGATGCAAGAGGCAACTGATTGATGATTCTCTCTCATTGATATTTCTAACTCTCTATCCCTCTCTCTTCCTCTCTGTAAAAAATCAATAAAACATATATATAAATATATATATATATATATTTTTTTTTTTAAATAAATAACTAAATAAAAAATACAAAATACCTGTCTTATTATAAAATGGAAAATGGAACAACATACCAAAAATAACCATCTAATAGATTTATGGATTTATTCAGATTAAACCAAACCCCAAGACTTCTGTCTTTCTTCTTTACTTCCTGGAGGAAAGTAGATCTTATATTAACTAGAGTATGTACAGACGTTTTATTGTGTTTCTTTGGCACACATCAACACTAAAATCCCCAGAACTGTTTCTACATCTGCCTCAGCCACTGAACTTCAGTGCCTTTGTGTTATAGGGTAATCTATGCTTTGACTTTCTTTTACTGGAATGTAAACTCCTTGAGAACAGGCAGAGCCTCTAACCAATAACTGGTATGAGGTACATGCTCAATAAATAGTTGTTGAAAGAAATCATTGAATATGCTGTGGCTACTATTCTTTCATTGCCTTCTCAGGTGCTCTTTTCTCAGGCTGCCCAGCCCTGTATCTTGGCCCTGCCTACTATCCCCTACTCAAGAGGCAATAGGCCTAGCTCCCTTTCTCTGTGTATGCAGGGCCTCAGTAAGCCTTTTCAGACCAAGCCCTTGAGCTGATAACCCCCTCCAGAACCTCTGCACTTGCCCTTCTGAAGTGACTCTTCTCTGGGCCATTAGTAACTG